TATGTCGGTGTGTCCATATGTCGGTGTGTCTGTGTGCCAATATGTCGGTGTGTCCATATGTCGGTGTGTCCATATGTCTATATGTCGGTGTGTCCATATGTCGGTGTGTCCATATGTCGGTGTGTCTGTGTGCCAATATGTCGGTGTGTCCATATGTCGGTGTGTCTGTGTGTCAATATGTCGGTGTGTCCATATGTCGGTGTGTCCATGTATCGGTGTGTCCATGTATGTGTCTATGTATCCGTGTGTGTGTCCGTGTAGAATGTAGTCATTGGTCAGAAAAAACTTTAGCGACCCCTGGGGTATGTAGCCACGTTGTGTCGCAGCCCCCCCCCCCCAGCGGCTAGATACCAGCCCCCCCCCCAGCGGCTAGATACCAGCCCCCCCCCCAGCGGCTAGATACCAGCCCCCCCCCCCCACAGCGGCTAGATACCAGCCCCCCCCCAGCGGCTAGATACCAGCCCCCCCCCCCAGCGGCTAGATACCAGCCCCCCCCCCCCCCCAGCGGCTAGATACCAGCCCCCCCCCCCAGCGGCTAGATACCAGCCCCCCCCCACAGCGGCTAGATACCAGCCCCCCCCCCCCCCCAGCGGCTAGATACCAGCCCCCCCCCCACAGCGGCTAGATACCAGCCCCCCCCCCCCCCCAGCGGCTAGATACCAGCCCCTCTCCCTTACAACCCCCCCCCCCCAGCGGCTAGATACCAGCCCCTCTCCCTTACAACCCCCCCCCCCCAGCGGCTAGATACCAGCCCCTCTCCCTTACAACCCCCCCCCCCCCCAGCGGCTAGATACCAGCCCCTCTCCCTTACAACCCCCCTCCCCCCCAGCGGCTAGATACCAGCCCCTCTCCCTTACAACCCCCCCCCCCCCCCCAGCGGCTAGATACCAGCCCCTCTCCCTTACAACCCCCCCCCCAGCGGCTAGATACCAGCCCCTCTCCCTTACTAAACACCCCCCCCCCCAGCGGCTAGATACCAGCCCCTCTCCCTTACAACCCCCCCCCCAGCGGCTAGATACCAGCCCCTCTCCCTTACAACCCCCCCCCCAGCGGCTAGATACCAGCCCCTCTCCCTTACAACCCCCCCCCCCAGCGGCTAGATACCAGCCCCTCTCCCTTACAACCCCCCCCCCCCCCAGCGGCTAGATACCAGCCCCTCTCCCTTACAACCCCCCCCCCCAGCGGCTAGATACCAGCCCCTCTCCCTTACAACCCCCCCCCCCCCACAGCGGCTAGATACCAGCCCCTCTCCCTTACAACCCCCCCCCCCCAGCGGCTAGATACCAGCCCCTCTCCCTTACAACCCCCCCCCCAGCGGCTAGATACCAGCCCCTCTCCCTTACAACCCCCCCCCCAGCGGCTAGATACCAGCCCCTCTCCCTTACAACCCCCCCCCCCCAGCGGCTAGATACCAGCCCCTCTCCCTTACAACCCCCCCCCCCCCCCAGCGGCTAGATACCAGCCCCTCTCCCTTACAACCCCCCCCCCAGCGGCTAGATACCAGCCCCTCTCCCTTACAACCCCCCCCCACAGCGGCTAGATACCAACCCCTCTCCCTTACTAAACACCCCCCCCCCCCCCCCGGCCAGTGGGAGCAGCCGAGATTCCCACAGACCCGCGTGTTGACACAACGATTCCAGCACGTCATCACCTGCCTAGTGACAACAACATTTGTGCTGCAGCGGCAACAGTCATGTTGGCTTACCTGACTCTAAGTCACAGTCAAGTTGACTTACCTGACTCTAAGTCACAGTTATGTTGACTTACCAGTCACTCACCTGTACGTCACAGTCATGTTGACTTACCAGACTCTAAGTCACAGTCAAGTTGACTTACCAGACTCTAAGTCACAGTCAAGTTGACTTACCAGTCACTCACCTGTACGTCACAGTCATGTCCTCTCATTAGAGTTGTCGCAGTTTACAGTTTTATCAGACCACTCACTCCTACCATCCAGTACCTACCATCCAGTACCTACCATCCAGTACCTACCATCCTGTACCTATCATCCAGTACCTACCATCCAGTACTTACCATCCAGTACCTACCATCCAGTACCTACCATCCTGTACCTATCATCCAGTACCTACCATCCAGTACTTAACATCCAGTACTTACCATCCAGTACCTACCATCCAGTACCTACCATCCTGTACCTATCATCCAGTACCTACCATCCAGTACTTAACATCCAGTACTTACCATTAGTACCTACCATCATATTACCTACCATACATTTGTAAGAAATATATTTGATACAAGTTGAACTTTGTGTTTGGGGTTTTAAACATGTGCTTCTGTTTGTGACATATTTATAAACTTCAAAAGCATTGAAGTTCGCAATAATTATCATAATTTATCTCCTTAAGTAAAACTACCATAACATTATTGTACACAACTGCCTCAAATTGTGTTACATGTGTATTTGAATACCCGGTATAACGAATAATTTCAAAAGAAATGTAGGTGCATTATGGTGTTTTGTATGTTTTTGTAAGTCCACATTATTGCGTCAATTACAGACTAGAGAATAGCAAATCATTTTGACTATTTCTTTTTTCCGTTTTACGCAAAATTAAAGTTCGCATTAAAAACTTAGATGAAAGCTAAGTTTAAACATTCTTTTACATTCTACTAAATTCTGTTAAATCTTATATGTACACGGAATTAAAACTTATATACTTCAGACTAAACAATTGTACGTGTGTTATAAATACTGGCATACGAATACAACTTATGCACATATATCTAATTGTTTAGCCTGCATTACATTTAATTAATCGTTTTCTGTTTCTGAATATTTAACCATAAAAGTAGTAACAAAGTCCATGCAAATACACATTTGTGACTTTTTCCTGTGACTTTTTAAAATAATCCATTTCAGTGCCCTCTTGTCCGACCATCATGCCCTGAAGGCTATCAATGTTGACGGGAATCACGTGATGCCCCATTAACTCACGGCCAACATGTTCTGAGTGCACAAGGGGTGGGGGGGGGGGAGAGTGGGGCACATAACTCCTAGTTCACACCTGTAATTAAAAATTAGTTGTTAATTAGCTTTTAGACCGCAGTTAATTAAGCTAGTGTCTCTATCAGCTCCATCGTCGCTGTTATGTGTGGGTGGGGGAGCTGTCGGGGGTGGGGGTGGGGGAGAGGATGGGGCTGGATATTCAGCGGATGTGTCACATTCTAATCTGTGTGGTTGTGTGGGTCAGTTCAATGTGTAGATGTGTGGGTGGTGGGGGAGTTAGTTTAATGTGTGGCTGTGTGTGGGGGAGTTAGTTTAATGTGTGGCTGTGTGTGAGGGGGTGGTTGACAAACCGTCCAACACAGCAACATAAAGCCACACGACAACCGCGGGAAGTCTGCAGGAATTATCTCCCCATAAACATGTCAGGGGTGAAAGCTGGTGGCCGCCACGGTGATGGAAGGGGGGGGGGGGGCAGTGACAATGTGATACCGTGGAAGGGGGGGGGCAGTGACAATGTGATACCATGGAAGGGGGGGGGAGCAGTGACAATGTGATACCGTGGAAAGGGGGGGGGGCAGTGACAATGTCATACCGTGGAAGGTGGGGGGGAGCAGTGACAATGTGATACCGTGGAAGGGGAGGGGGGCAGTGACAATGTGATACCGTGGAAAGGGGGGGGGGGCAGTGACAATGTCATACCGTGGAAAGGGGGGGGGGGCAGTGACAATGTCATACCGTGGAAGGGGGGGGGGAGCAGTGACAATGTGATACCGTGGAAGGGGGGGGGGGCAGTGACAATGTGATACCGTGGAAGGGGGGGGGGCAGTGACAATGTGATACCGTGGAAGGGGGGGCAGTGACACTGTGATACCGTGGAAGGGGGGGGCAGTGACAATGTGATACCGTGGAAGGGGGGCAGTGACACTGTGATACCGTGGAAGGGGGGGCAGTGACAATGTGATACCGTGGAAGGGGGGGGGAGCAGTGACAATGTGATACCGTGGAAGGGGGGGCAGTGACAATGTGATACCGTGGAAGGGGGGGCAGTGACAATGTGATACCGTGGAAGGGGGGGGGAGCAGTGACAATGTGATACCGTGGAAGGGGGGGGAGCAGTGACAATGTGATACCGTGGAAGGGGGGGCAGTGACAATGTGATACCGTGGAAGGGGGGGGGGAGCAGTGACAATGTGATACCGTGGAAGGGGGGGGCAGTGACAATGTGATACCGTTCATTGGACGGAAACATAGGTCCGCTAACACTTCACAGGTCCTAATACTGATGGTTAGCTTTAGAATAATATTGAAAAAAAAATTGGCTTTACCGAGATTTGAACTCGGGTCGTTGAATTCAAAATTACAGTTTCAAATGTGGCAGCTTATCATTGTCAGGAGGCATAGTGGGGTTGTAGTTTTACAATGTCAGGGGTCGTGGTAGGGTCGTAGTGGGGTCGTAGTTTTACGTGTCAGGGCTCGTAATTTTACAATATCAAGGGTCGTAGTAGGATCCTAGTGGGGTCGTAGTTTTACAATATCGAAAACCAAATCGGAACCTTTTCATCACCATACGAATTACATAACACTGACTAAATTATACATTGTAGTCAATTAAAGACATGACGCACATCCCTGACACACCTGCCGATCCGCCTGCCGACACACCTGATCCACCTGCCGACCCACCTGCCGACCCACCTGACCCACCTGCCGACACACCTCACCCACCTGCCGACACACCTGCCGACACGCCTGACCCACCTGCCGACACACCTGACCCACCTGCCGACACACCTGACCCACCTGCCGACACACCTGACCCACCTGCCGACACACCTAACCCACCTGCCTACACACCTAACCCACATGCCGACACACCTGACCCACCTGCCGACACACCTGACCCACCTGCCGACACACCTGACCCACCTGCCGACCCACCTGCCGACACACCTAAACCACCTGCCGAAACACCTGACCCACCTGCCGACCCACCTGCCGACCCACCTGAGTCTCCCCTCTACCTCCACAGCCACATCAACGTGTGTCAGTGAGTCTAAGAGAAACAGGACAGCATACACCAGACAGCAGATCTTGGAGCTGGAGAAGGAGTTCCACTTTAACAGGTCAGCTCATGACATACATATGTACATGACATACACAGGTCAGGCTCATGACATACATATGTACATGACATACACAGGTCAGGCTCATGACATACATATGTACATGACATACACATGTCAGGCTCATGACATACATATGTACATGACATACATATGTCAGGCTCATGACATACATATGTACATGACATACACATGTCAGGCTCATGACATACATATGTACATGACATACGCATGTCAGGCTCATGACATACATATGTACATCACATACATATGTCAGGCTCATGACATACATATGTACATGACATACACATGTCAGGCTCATGACATACATATGTACATGACATACATATGTCAGGCTCATGACATACATATGTACATGACATACACATGTCAGGCTCATGACATACATATGTACATGACATACATATGTCAGGCTCATGACATACATATGTCAGGCTCATGACATACATATGTACATGACATACATATGTCAGGCTCATGACATACACATGTCAGGCTCATGACATACATATGTACATGACATACACATGTCAGGCTCATGACATACATATGTCAGGCTCATGACATACACATGTCAGGCTCATGATATACATATGTCAGGCTCATGACATACATATGTACATGACATACATATGTACATGACATACACAGGTCAGCTTATGACATACATATGTACATGACATACACATGTCAGGCTCATGACATACACATGTCAGGATCATGACATACATATGTACATGACATACATATGTCACAGTCATGACATACATATGTCAGGCTCCTGACATACACATGTCAGGCTCATGACATACATATGTACATGACATATACATGTCAGGCTCATGACATGATCTGGCTGACCCTCTACCCTACCCAGACAATTATTGATGTACTCATAGCTTCACGTGGCCCGGGTCTAAGACGTTAATCCCCCCCCCCCCAGGTTACTTTTAACTTACCTACCCTTCTCCCTCAAATCTGTTGAATGCGTCAATTAGACTCCATCCACCCCACCCACCCCGTCGATGCGACCCGACCCGACCCAGCCCACCCCATACCTCTCCCCCCCCCCCCCCGGTAAGATTTACAAATAGGTTGATGGTGGGGGTGTGGGTGATATAAATACATGGGTTATGGCTCGTGTAGTGATGTCATCATAGTTATGCTGGGAGGGGGGGATACTCCTCCAACTGCCTCCTTCTTGTAACCTTAACCTTGACCTTGTTTGACCCCCAGGTATCTGACGCGGCGTCGCAGGATCGAGATCGCCCACACCCTGACCCTCTCTGAGCGTCAGATCAAGATCTGGTTCCAGAACAGGAGGATGAAGTGGAAGAAAGAACACAAGCAGCCCAACACCAAGTCTCGTCTGTTGGAGGGGTGAGTAGCACGGAGACTGGCGGGAAGGCTGGCGGGCAGGCTGGCGTACAGGCTAATTTACTGTTCAGCCGGCAGGTTGATCTCAATCCACTGTTGTGCCGCCAATATCTAACAATAAGACCGTCAATGACGCCAATATCTAACAATAAGACCGTCAATGACGCCAATATCTAACAATAAGACCGTCAATGACGCCAATATCTAACAATAAGACCGTCAATGACGCCAATAACACGTGTTTGATTATCTTTCCTTTTTCCAGGTACAACGATTGGATGACCCCGAGTGACACGTGATGCTTGACCCCGCCCACCCACGTGACACGAAACTAACGCTTATTTCGTCATGCCAACAACCGGCACTCATTGGAAACACTCGGGCTACCGGTTAAATGTCATATTTCCGGTCAAAGTCCACATTTCCGGTGCTCTCAAAAAGTAATGAATTCCACTGAGACAATACCATGTGATTATTTGATGTGAAATGTGATTAAATTATGCAAATATTTTCTAATTCTACCTTGGACCCAAGGTCACGTGACAAGGAGACGACCCAAGGTCACGTAGCAAGGAGACGACCCAAGGTCACGTGACAAGGAGACGACCCAAGGTCACGTGACAAGGAGACGACCCAAGGTCACGTAACAAGGAGACGACCCAAGGTCACGTGACAAGGAGACGACCCAAGGTCACGTAACAAGGAGACGACCCAAGGTCACGTGACAAGGAGACGACCCAAGGTCACGTAACAAGGAGACGACCCAAGGTCACGTGACAAGGAGACGACCCAAGGTCACGTGACAAGGAGACGACCCAAGGTCACGTAACAAGGAGACGACCCAAGGTCACGTAGCAAGGAGACGACCCAAGGTCACGTACCAAGGACGCGACCCAAATTGACGCTGTGACGTTCTGGACCCCTGTGACGTCAAACTTTGTTTACTGTTTTTGTTGCGTGTTAAAAACATGGAATAGTCTGCTGATGGAGACGTCACTTCCGGTGTAGACGTTCCCACGTGACCTCAGTGTCAACGTGAGATGACGTCACAAGAGATGACGTCACTGCCGACGTCCTCTAGCAAACGGCTAGCTCGTCCAGCAGGTGTTGTCCACACACCCACACACCCACACACTAGCCGACATACACACTCACTGACACACACACACACACACACACACACGACACCCTTTGACCCAGATACGGTCCCCACAAAAACAAGTCCTACACAAAAAATGTTTTCGAGACCCGTGTGTGTGTGTGTGTGAAAGAGACAGGAAGTGTGTGTGTGTCTGCGTGTTGCTGTGTGGCTTTGTGGGTGTGTGTGTGTGTGTGTTGCAAAACTCATACAAAAAATTCCTGGATTTAAAAAAGCTTTAAATACATTTTTAGTCCTTTTTCCTCGATTACCTTTTTCCTCGATTACCTTTTCCTCGATTACCTTTTCCTCGATTACCTTTTCCTCGATTACCTTTTTCCTCTTGAGCAAGGGGGTGTAGGTGGGAGAGATGGAAGCTAAATTTAGATCAGCGTCAAAACATTTGGGATGGAGCTGACTAGTTAGATGAACGGAAAAAAAGTCACAGAAAAAAGTCACATAGAAAAGTTTTACTGTAGTAAAAAGTCAGAAAATAGAAAAATAAGTTAGAAATGTGTATTAAGAAATAATTTTATAACGTTTTGAGAATTGTAAAAAAATTTGGGTATTTATCGTATGAAACATAAAAGTATTATCAAATTTCATGTAAATACACATTTGTGACCGTTTTCCTGTGACTTTTCCTGTTACTTTTTTCCTGTGACCTTTTTCCTGTGACTTTTTTCCTGTGAGTTTTTCCTCCAATCGACTGGTACAGCATACATCGAAAGAGCCGCAACAACCTCTAGGGCCCGCGTCATAACGCTCCCCCCCCCCCCCACTATTCGGCCACATTGACTAGTTCTATCGCCAAAAAAAAACAAAACATTCACATGTTTGCTAATCTTTCACAATAGATCGTGTAGTGTTAGATTCAGTTGGTCAAGTATGTGTCTATATTGTTTTAGATGGGGAGGGGAAGGGGGGGGGGGGTCAATGGGTCAAGACGTCACCAATATATGCAAATATTTTTTGTGCTTGAGGGACATTTTTATTTTAAATATGTACAGAAATAATAAATGTATGTACATAAGTATGTTCTACACATACATACATAGTTATTATACACACATACATACATACATAGTTCTTATACATTTATATGTATATAGTTGAAATGTGATACATACATTCAGACATTGATCTTATATACAGATCCATATGTATTTGTTACACACACACACACACACACACACACAGATGTTCCATTGCATTATGTAGACACGGGGCAGTGTAGGTGTTGATTTCACATTTACACAATTACACAATTACATAATTACATAATAAACTAAATTATTGATAAGCATTCCACGTCAGAAACTAACTGGAAAATGTTCGCAGCTTTAAGGAAAATACTTGGATTTCTTTTTGTCGTGGGAATTTTTGTCTTATTTCAAGGGTTTTATATCTGGATGATGTTATATAAGGATGATGTTATATATGGATGATGTTTTATATGGATGATGTTATATATGGATGATGTTTACCTGAATGATGTTTTTATCCTAATCATTTTGTTATTTGGATGAAAAATATTTATCCCATCGTTAAAGTTTCATGAGGATAATGTTCATGTTTTAGGATAAATTATTGAAGAATAAAACAGATTAATGAGGCACTCGTTATGAAACTTATTTTTTGTTTTTGTTGATGGCCAGTTTGTGTCTGTATCTTGGCCATTGGGCCATCAAAAGAGGAAAATCTTGGCCACTAAATGGTAACGTGTAGCTATTTAAATACTGTCAAGGTCGCTGCACTGTTTTGTTTCCAGCATATTCTAGCCTGTCTGAGGAAGACGTATGGCCGAAACAGATTTGTCAGACATAGTACAGAGATCACGCCGCCCGCCCCTCCCTCCCTCTCCCCACAAAACCTGCCCCACCCCCACAAGACCTGCGGAGCGCCGGATGAAGATATCAGGGGCAAAGAACTGACGTCCCTCTGTCATCAACTTGTCCAGTCCATCAGGGTTAGACTAAATGTTTAGACAGTCAGTCTACACAGCCAATAGCCTTGCTCTATCCAGCTACTACGGTGGCCAGACACAAGGTCAAGGTCATTCAGCTACTTTTACGGAGTATCATCGACCAATCCATCGACCAAACAAAACAACTTTCGACCAAACAAAACTACTGACAAAGATAGGCCTAAGAATTGTTCGAAGTATGGAGCAAGCTATGACAACTCCGAAAATCTCGAGTTATGGTGGCTGTACCTGAGTCTACTCAGTCCTAGCGAATACCCGGCATTGTAGTGGAAAACAAATGAACTCTTTGAGAGCCAGAATTATGCCCATCTCGCTTACATCAAACATGACGTCACACCTAGTTGACCTCATTTGGTAGAGTTGATGGTTTAAATTTCATCCTGAAGTAAATAGGTCAATCATGGTTGTGAGTCTGACGTCATTCAGTCATGGCTGCACTCCCAGCCTAGAGTGACGTCATTCTGTCATGGCTGCACTCCCAGCCTAGAGTGACGTCATTATGTCATGGTTGCACTCCCAGCCTAGAGTGACGTCATTATGTCATGGTTGCACTCCCAGCCTAGAGTGACGTCATTCTGTCATGGTTGCACTCCCAGCCTAGAGTGACGTCATTCTGTCATGGTTGCACTCCCAGCCTAGAGTGACGTCATTATGTCATGGTTGCACTCCCAGCCTAGAGTGACGTCATTCTGTCATGGTTGCACTCCCAGCCTAGAGTGACGTCATTCTGTCATGGTTGCACTCCCAGCCTAGAGTGACGTCATTCTGTCATGGTTGCACTCCCAGCCTAGAGTGACGTCATTCTGTCATGGTTGCACTCCCAAGCCTACCTGGCATCTCTCGACTTTCTGCCCCAAAAATTGGCCAGATTTTTACAAACTGTTGAACGTCACTCTCCATTAAACAAGATCAGAAAACTTTCCGTTTGACCACAGACGCCAAAAATATCTTTCCATCCCTTTTCTCCCCCCCCCCCCCCCAGTTTGTCGAGTAAAGAGATACAAGCGGACTAGATTGGAAGCAACACGTTTACCCCCCCCCCCCCCCCCCAACACGTCACGTCTGCTCCTCTACACGTTTGACGTCTGCTAACTGCTTGTGACCGTCTGGGTCACGTGGTTGCCCCCTTCCCCCCCCCCCCCTGCTGGACCGTCAGATGGCGACATTGATAGCGCTTCTGCTCGTCGTCACGTGGTCTCTGATCTTCTGACAGGGCCCGTGGGGTCGGGGCTGGTAGGCGGAGGTGGGGGTAGGGGGGTAGGGGGGGGTAGACCACATTACAGTCACAAGTTAATGTCCTCTCTAGAGGACTAGAAGATGTTCTATCTGGATGTCCTCAAGAGGACCCAATGAGTACAGTAATCATGGCAGATTGTGTTCAAATGTTATACAAAGATTGTGGAGATTGTAGGCAGATGTTATACAAAGATTGTGGTCAGATGTTATACAAAGATTGTGGTCAAATGTTATACAAAGATTGTGTTCAGATGTTATACAAAGATTGTGTTCAAATGTTACACAAAGATTGTGGTCAGATCTTATACAAAGATTGTGGTCAAATGTTACACAAAGATTGTGGTCAGACGTTATACAAAGATTGTGGTCAAATGTTACACAAAGATTGTGTTCAGATGTTATATAAAGATTGTGTTCAAATGTTACACAAAGATTGTGTTCAGATGTTATACAAAGATTGTGGTCAAATGTTACACAAAGATTGTGTTCAAATGTTACACAAAGATTGTGTTCAGATGTTATACAAAGATTGTGGTCAAATGTTACACAAAGATTGTGTTCAGATGTTACACAAAGATTGTGTTCTGATGTTACACAAAGATTGTGTTCTGATGTTACACAAAGATTGTGGAGATTGTGGTCAAATGTTACACAAAGATTGTGGTCAGATGTTACACAAAGATTGTGGTCAGACGTTATACAAAGGTTGTGGTCAAATGTTACACAAAGATTGTGGAGATTGTGGTCAGATCTTATACAAAGATTGTGTTCTGATGTTACACAAAGATTGTGGTCAGATGTTACACAAAGATTGTGTTCAGATGTTATACAAAGGTTGTGGTCAAATGTTACACAAAGATTGTGGAGATTGTGGTCAAATGTTACACAAAGATTGTGTTCAGATGTTATACAAAGATTGTGGTCAAATGTTACATAAAGATTGTGGAGATTGTGGTCAAATGTTACACAAAGATTGTGGTCAAATGTTACACAAAGATTGTGTTCTGATGTTACACAAAGATTGTGTTCTGATGTTACACAAAGATTGTGTTCTGATGTTACACAAAGATTGTGGAGATTGTGTTCAGATGTTACACAAAGATTGTGGAGATTGTGTTCAGATGTTACACAAAGATGGTTGTCGCTCAGGTATAAAGTCAAGCGTTAAATTCCTGTCGAACAAGTTGACAGTATTAAGACGTGCAGTATTGGCGGATACATTTTACCTGAGATATCTCCCCCTCCCCCCCCCCCCGCCTTCACCCCTCAACCAGCCAGGGGGAACACCAAAATGGCTGCCACAAGAGGCGGCCATTAGCAGACGTGGCATAGCTCACGCTCCCGCTGCCAGAGTTAGGGCGGTAATGGTGACGTCTGCAACAGACCAGCAACTGCAGGCGTCTAGCAGCAGACGTCTTGAGTAGGGAGAGGAATTCTGGGTAATTCTCCTCCCCCAACCTTCACCCCTTAAAAAGTGTTAGAGATGTGCGCTCCTTCAGGTTTCTTGGCTGGTTTTGTCTTTAAAATACATTTTGATGTGGGCAACCATTTGAAACAGACCAAATACATTTTGATGTGGGCAACCATTTGAAACAGACCAAATACATTCTGATGTGGGCAACCATTTGAAACAGACCAAATACATTGAAACAGACCAAATACATTGAAACAGACCAAATACATTTTGATGTGGGCAACCATTTGAAACAGACCAAATACATTGAAACAGACCAAATACATTTTGATGTGGGCAACCATTTGAAACAGACCAAATACATTGAAACAGACCAAATACATTGAAACAGACCAAATACATTTTGATGTGGGCAACCATTTGAAACAGACCAAATACATTGAAACAGACCAAATACATTGAAACAGACCAAATACATTTTGATGTGGGCAATTATTTGAAACAGACCAAATACATTGAAACAGACCAAATACATTTTGATGTGGGCAACCATTTGAAACAGACCAAATACATTGAAACAGACCAAATACATTGAAACAGACCAAATACATTTTGATGTGGGCAAACATTTGAAACAGACCAAATACATTGAAACAGACCAAATACATTTTGATGTGGGCAACCATTTGAAACAGACCAAATACATTGAAACAGACCAAATACATTGAAACAGACCAAATACATTTTGATGTGGGCAACCATTTGAAACAGACCAAATACATTGAAACAGACCAAATACATTGAAACAGACCAAATACATTTTGATGTAGGCAACCATTTGAAACAGACCAAACTGAAGATTTTACAATGAATTTTTTACATAACCCATGACCCTAAACACCATAACACCTAAACACCATAACACCTAAACACCATAACACCTAAACACCATAACACCTAAACACGATAACACCTAAACGCCATAACACCTAAACACCATAACACCTAAACACCATAACACCTTAACACCATAACACCTAAACACCATAACACATAAACACCATGTGTTAAAATTTAAAAAGTGAAATCTGAAACCTTAGTTTCGACTTTGGGATATTGATGGCAGGGACATATGGGAGGGGTGTGGTGGACAGGGGAGGTGGGAGAGGTGTGGTGGACAGGGGAGGTGGGAGAGGTGTGGTGGACAGGGGAGGTGGGAGGTGGGAGGGGTGTGGTGGACAGGGAAGGTGGGAGGTGGGAGGGGTGTGGTGGACAGGGAAGGTGGGAGGTGGGAGGGGTGTGGTGGAAAGGGGAGGTGGGAGGTGGGAGGGGTGTGGTGGACAGGGGAGGTGGGAGGGGTGTGGTGGACAGGGGAGGTGGGAGGTGGGAGGGGTGTGGTGGACAGGGAAGGTGGGAGGTGGGAGGGGTGTGGTGGAAAGGGGAGGTGGGAGGGGTGTGGTGGACAGGGGAGGTGGGAGGGGTGTGGTGGACAGGGAAGGTGGGAGGTGGGAGGGGTGTGGTGGAAAGGGGAGGTGGGAGGTGGGAGGGGTGTGGTGGACAGGGGAGGTGGGAGGGGTGTGGTGGACAGGGGAGGTGGGAGGGGTGTGGTGGACAGGGGAGGTGGGAGGTGGGAGGGGTGTGGTGGACAGGGGAGGTGGGAGGGGTGTGGTGGACAGGGGAGGTGGGAGGTGGGAGGGGTGTGGTGGACAGGGGAGGTGGGAGGTGGGAGGGGTGTGGTGGACAGGGGAGGTGGGAGGTGGGAGGGGTGTGGTGGAAAGGGGAGGTGGGAGGTGGGAGGGGTGTGGTGGACAGGGGAGGTGGGAGGTGGGAGGGGTGTGGTGGACAGGGGAGGTGGGAGGTGGGAGGGGTGTGGTGGACAGGGGAGGTGGGAGGTGGGAGGGGTGTGGTGGACAGGGGAGGTGGGAGGTGGGAGGGCTGTGGTGGAAAGGGGAGGTGGGGAGGGTAGGCAGCG